GGATATCTATTGGTCCCCCCGATAGCTACCCGATTGGTCCCTGATATATGCCTGAAATATGGATTTCGACCTGTGTAAATTTTGATCTGTGTTGAGATGACGAGTATCACGTTTTGATAATTTTTTTGGTCATCCACTCCTGAAAGCAACAGAAATACTATCATTTTTATGATATTTAGATATAATATTATGAATGGTAGTCTTTCCATACCCAGTTTTTTCGAAATAGTTCTTTTTAAGTCACCAGTGAGATAAAAACTGATAACTTTGCCCCTCTTGAAATCCGTTAACTCTTTTTTTTTAACCATTTTACAGTAAACAAAGAATATAATTCGTGATAATCATTGTTGATGATCAGGTATCACAAATATATTTTTTATTTATTTTATTTTAAGTCGCACAATTATATATTTATGTTTTTATGTAAATCACAGGGGTGGCTCTAAACTTTTGAGACAGGAGTGCATATGAGTTCAGATCTTTAGATGAAAACTCAAATTTCATTACTTTATATTTATTTGTATTTGTGAATATTTATTCAAACAGCAGGAAATCTTATAAATGGGACCTAAGGAGATATGTACATTTGTGTGCATTTATATATAGTTATGTATAATTTGGTATGTAAATTTACATAAATTATACAGATCATACAAATATACACAAATATATATTGTCCTAATATCATAGTTTTTAAATGTATTATTTAGCATTCATCAGAAAATTCTATAAAGTTAAAATTAAATTTTCCAGTAACAATTGTGTTAACATTATTATCTTCATCAACTTCATGTTTCACTAGAACAGAAAATTGAATTTAAGATTAACAATACTGCTATTTTTTAGAGAAGTGAATACAAATTTGTCCATTATGCCTTTATAAATACAGATTCATTAAAAATAAGACAATTTTCCATTATTGGTAATTATAACATCTCTCAAATGATAAAAGGCTAAGATTAAACATGATAAATTATATAATTTTTATAAACAAAATAATTTATTAAATCTGAAGCACAAATAATAAAAGTAAATCAAATATTATGACATAATTGCATATTACAAATTAATTATATATTACAACTTAATTACATATTACAACTTAATTATGCATTCCAACTAAGTAACAACTTACAACCTTATTATGATGCTTTACAACTTTGAACAATGGGTTGCAATCTAAGGTTGTAATATGTAATTCCCATAATTATTACTTACAGCCAGCAACTCTATAGATGATTATGAAATTTTTCAAATTAAAAAGAAATAAAATATAATTTATACACTTAGGGTTAAGATTTTTCAAGGGTAGTGTATTTATCACCATGTGTCACGCCCTTCGAATATCGATTTTGTTATTTAGCCTAAAGACAGGAATTTTTTACACGCGAAAAACATCTTTGTCACATTATATTCGTCACCTAATATTTATCACACGTGAAATAATTTCGATCACCTGTGTCTATTATTTAATAATGTCGATAATCACACAGGTATAGAATAAAGCATCTAATTAAACAATAAATTATTTATAGTTGAAAATAATTCGATCATAAGGGCATGCAAATGCTAAATAAATGGGGTAATTTATTTCATCATTTATGGCTGTTAAGTTTTTATTCATAAAATTTTCCGTTTTACATCCGAGAAGTGTCAATTTAAAATAATATCGCAAAAATTTTATAAAGCATGGCACGTGTGAACAGGCTTAAAAATAATATTAAATTATTTATGAATATTATTAACAAGCTGATAGAAACGCTGATCAATTTGGAGAAGAAACACTCTTTATTTAAAAGATCGACAGAAAATAAAAATAAATTAAAATACGATTATTAATTGAAAGTAATAAATAATGAATAATGCCAACATTAAGGCTCATATGTGGGTATAATTGGATTGGGAAAAGATTCTGTTTCATATCCCATTGATTCAAGTATGGACAAAATTCTGGGTCCAATTGGAGATGAGTGATTCCCACCTCTTTGGATTGCGAATTCTAGTGTTATACCAGGATCTTGACTCCATGTCATCAAAAAATCGGGAGTTAATTCATAATGTTTTTCGCTGACGTGGCTTATACTAGATCCTTGATCATAAGGATATAAACCGGATTCTAAATAAATTACTTCCTTATAACTTGTGCCTTCCGCAGGTGTAAAGGTCAAACTATCATTAGTAGTTGCCGATTCAAGTGTGAATTCTGCAATTTCCCATTGTGGAGAAGATTTTACTCGAGCTAAAAATTCCTCGACAGTATCGAATGAAGTTCCAATAGGTACCGACTCATTTAATTGGGAAGTGTAATCTGTCGATGTGCTTACTACACCATTTCGTGTGAACTTTACATATTTATCAAAAATATTTTCCAAAAATCCTTCAAATTGACTGTCATTGTCACCACCGAAATCGGGAAAAGGAGTAAGACCAGTGGTATCTTGATCAACTAAAGTTTCGAGGAGATTACTCCAACTTGATATGAACCCAAGTCCATGTATAAGTTCATGTAATATAACTGCGTAAAAATCATATTGATCAGAACCGATTGTTCCGTTATCAGTTCTAAACCACCAATTTTGGGCTATAAAATAATATAATTAGCTGTTAATAGCAAATAATCTTTTAATATTTTTGATAATATTATTGATTATTACCTGCATTAAGTCTTGCAGTAATATCATAATCATTATATTCAGGATGTGTGCTTAAGGAAAACTGCTTCACAAGAGCTTGAGGATAGCTTCTTATGATCTTATCATCTGAGGTCAGTGGTATATATCGTGCAGGACCGGCAGAACCTTTTAAATATTATAAAAATTATTATGTAATAATAAAGTGAATAAATCTGGAAGTGATAAATATTGCACATTGCGAAAGTTACTTTTACAATACAACTCACCTAATAAAAATGGATTAATTAGGTCTGTAAAAGTGGCATTTACTTTGATTATCTGTTTTAACTCCAAAACTTTTGATATTTCTTTTCCGGCGTCATTGAAGGCCTCTTTGATCTTGTTACACAGGGCTGCAGTAGCAGTACAATTATGAGTTACTTCAAAGAAATTGGTGGTTTGACGCTTAACATAAGCGTCACTATTCACAGTAGGTGGACAGTCTACTATTACTTGCTTAGAAGGATTTAAAGGATCTGGAATATCGACACATCTTTCAGCTGTTATTGTTAGAAAATGAGTAAAAGTTAAAATGCACAATAATAATGATGAGTATATTGATTGAGATTTCATCTTTACTATTTGAATTAAGGGTGGAACTTTAAAATGTGGAAAGTTTATTCGCCTTTAAATATCTTTTTATTATTGTTATTTTTCTCTTGAACTCGGAAATTAAGTTTATAAAAACAATTTGTGTAATGTGTATTAGATATTGTATTGTCAATAGAAACTTCTTTTTCGAATTTTCTTTGAATCTTTCTTTTTAAAAATTGGCTGAATACTTTCTTTTGAAGATGTAATTCTAAACTTGGAGATTTTAAAAATCGGCTAATTCTTTCTTTCGGAGATTTCCTTCAAAATTTGAAAATTTTACGGTAAATTTTTTTGAGATAAAGTGATAAAGTTAGAAATTTTCTAAATATTAAAGAGCACAAAATTACGAATTTAGATTCTTCTTTTTTCTCGCGTTCATTTTTTTTTCATTATGTTTCTTAATTTGGATTAATTGAAATGAATGATGGCGCGAATTAACAATGCAATTAATGTGGTGGTCTGTTATGATGATTGTTATAAATAGTAAAATTTATAAATATTTACAACACTAGTCGCGTTAGCCGAAATGTGGATCTGTTACATAATTTGGGATGCAAAAAAAGAAAATTATAAATATTTACAATGTTAGTCCGTTAGTCCGACCTCTTTTATCTTTTTAATAGACTAATTTAATATCTGCATATCTACAAAAATTCAACTAAACTAATATTCGTTGATAATTAATAATAATCAATACATTCACAAATTGAATTCCATTGTTGATTAATCATAAGTTATTATTTTCGTTTTCCGTTTTTTTTTTCGAAGAGATTGGACAAATTTTACTTACTAATTGGTGAATTGAATCAAATTGACATTAACTAAATAATATATATAATTAGCTCACACTATGCTTGATATAATCTTCTGATCTTTTTCTAGATAATTAAACGTTTCTCTTTCCATTATTTATATTTGTCATTAACTTAAAATGATTTTCAGGCAACACAGTATTGTGAACTGAAGAAGATTCTTCATAGAAAATTTTTAGGCGCAAATCTCCGTGACCTACGCAAATTTAAGTAAATTTGTGTAAATCTACTTAGCCCCGTAATATTACGGAGATTTACACCTAAAAAAATATCCGGATTCTCTCACTTGATTAAAGTAAATTCTCTTTCAAACTAAGAATTATAAATCAATGGAAATAAGACTAAAAAGAAAATTGATGAGCGTTTTATAATAATAATTCCTTATTTAGATTACAAATCCGCCATATGATTATTGAAAATATTTTTATAGAAAATCAATAATTATAATTCCAAGATTGTACAGTGGGTATCAAAAGTCACCAGGACAGCTAAAAATTTTTAAAAAAATTACTAAATTTGAAATGATAATTGTGCCAAATGGTTGCACAATTTTTTTTTATTAGATTAGGGCTTATCATATATTTTTAGTAAATAAATGTCTTCATATAAAATTGACAAATTTAATTTTTAACCATCAACAATACCGGATTCGTTGATTATTAAATATAGGTACTAAACTATCTTATATGAGATTGTAGCCAGAAATAACATCAACAAGTTTAATTTGAAAACTTTTCGTGGTGATTAATGAAAATTTTGACTTCACTTAGACGTGAATAATAATGACCAATTTTATTAAGAATTTTAAATAATAAAAATAAATAAAAAACAATTATCAATGTTTCTACATAGTAAAGTTTTTTTTATTTTTATTATATAAATAAAATGATACTAAGTAACATTAAAGCTGAGAATATATAGCATCCTTATGTAAAGTATTTAGATATATTAAATCAAAATTGAGTAATAATTAACAATTAAATTACAGAGAATAATTTTTGAATATCCAGCGTTCAGCCGTTGATATTAAATTCAATTCGTAAGTAAAAATTCTAAAAACTTTGTAAATAATGCTCCACATTCTCAGCTATGCATTTGTTATTATATTTAAATGATGAACTTTAGTATGTATTAACTTTGATAATAAAAAAAATCTGAAAATAATTATATAGAGATAAATGATCGACAAAAAATTTGCCGCGCAAATTTCTAAGGCATTTTTGTCGATCATTTTACCGTTGATATTAAGAAAAATTCAAAAAATATAACTATTAAACGTTACTACATATAAATTCTCATTTTTTTATTACCAAAACAGCAAATGTGTTACTAATTAATCTTATAGCTAAGAATGTGGAGTATTATTTACAAAGTTTTTAGAATTTTTACTTATGAATTGAATTTAATATCAAAAGCTTTAATGTTATTTAGTATTATTTTCATTTATACATTAGTAAATAAAACTTTATATGTAGAAATAATTGATAATTATTTTCGAATTTTTTTTTATTTTTTTTTTGAATTTTTAGTAAATTTCAGCCGTTTTTATTCACGTCTAAGTGAAGATAAAATTTTCATTCCTTGTTACAATTTCATATAACATTGTTGGTACCTATATTTAATATTGAACGAGTTTGGTATGGGTAACGGTTAAAAATTAAATTTATTATTTTTTGTCAATTTTATTTGAAGTGTAATTTCTCTACGTGCAGACATTTAAAAATATATCATATGATAGTCTAGTGTAAGGAAATCTAATAAAAAAAGTTTGTGCAATTTAGATTACTCATTGTGGCACAATTAAAATTTTAAATTTAGTAATTTTTTCAACTGTCTGGTGACTTTTGATACAGAAAATTTCTTATTCATAAATCTACGCAATTTATGTAAATTTGCGTAGTTCCGGAGATTTACACCTAAAAAAAATTTCCGGATGCTTTCTCACTAGATTAAAATAAATTCTCTTTCAAAACGACTACAAATACTTTTTGCAAACAACTGAATGTCGCTTAAGAATTATAAATTAAATGGAAATATGAATAAATATATGGGCGAGTTTATTTTAGTGTTCGAAGTCGAAAGATCATTTAAAAATGACAAAGTAACACGAGGTATTTTTATTAATTAACGATGTAGCAGATATGTGCGAGATATTCTTGGTTTTTATTTTTTATTAATTAAATAAAAATAACAATGAAAGCGTACAAATATATGTCTACTTTTTCATTTTTTTCAATGAATTTATTATTGAAACGTAAGACCACCCAAAGAAAAATCTTGACCAATTTTATGTCTTATAATGGTTCTACTGGAACTTGAGTTCGAGAGATAAAATATATTTGATAATTTAAAATGATTTAATAATTAGATAATTAAATAAATAATTATATAATTAAATAATTAAATAATTAAATAATTAAATAATTAAATAATTTTTTTATTGGAGCAAGACTCCGTTGGATATAAAAAAAAAATAATTAAATAATTAAATAATTAAATAATTAAATAAATGATTAAATAATTAAATAAATAATTAATTAATTAAATAATTAAAAATTAAATAAATAATTAAACAATTAATAATTAAATAATTAAATAAACATTAAATGTGCCAGATTTTTTTTTAAGTTGTACAATATTTTTTGTCATGTTCAGGATCAATGATCTTTAGCATCCAAAAATTTTACTATAATGATCGCCCGAAATTTTGCTTAATAATTACGAATTAATTTATTAACATACTTAATATTAATTTATGTTTTAGGGAATATTTATAAAGTAAACCTAAGTTATATTAATAAAACAATAAATTTATTTAAAGTTAAAAAAGAGGAACCTAGGGTTGCTAAAGTTTTTATCTACAATTTTACATCTGGAAAGTACCAAATTGACATAATATCACAAAAATTTTATAAATTTCAGAGTCCTTCTTTGCTATAAACTATACCATTTTTACCATGAGAAGTGTGATAGAATTTTCAAATAGCATGTGCAAATATGCTTAAAATTCGAATTAGACAATAACTGATAATAAAAGAACTGTTAAATTAATAAACATTCTTTATTTCATTACCACAACTGTATTTGCACAATCACCCAAACGTTTGTGGAACCTAGTTCCTTGTAAAATTATTCATGCTTATTGTTGTTGAATAAGTAGTTGTTTTACAATCAATCCAACTAGAAATAATGATGGTTGGAAAATTTTATTCTACACGGAAGTGAATCTAATAATTGATTTTATTGAACGGTCAGAAACTTCCATGGGCAGATCCCAAAGTTGTTTATCAAGAATCGTTTTATAGGGCATAATTTTTTTTCAATATTTTCAGTATATGAAATATAAAAATAACAAATAAAGGGTTGGCATTGTTGTAAAAGTAAATTTAACATAAGAAAATTTCCTTTGTCCAAATCTTAAAAAGAATAGAATTTTGATCAATTCCCAACTTAATGACATAATCCCAAATTTTAATCTTATTTGAGAAGGGACACTAATGAAGATTCTGGAAGAGATGCAAAATTTGACTTTCAAAAATAATATTTAGAATATATAATGTCATTACAAAAATTTCCAATTTTTTTTTTACTAAATATGATAAATAAGAGAAAAATGTATTCTTAATCAAGCTTTAGTTTCAATAAGAAGAGATCTAATTTGTTAATTTCTCAAATTCAAATTCATTAGTAACCCATTGAATCAAAGATAATGGATTGAAGCGAGGTTGATCTTGATTTAAAGGATTTGAACATGATTAAGATCAAATTTCAATATGTCGGAATATACTGCAAAAGACTTTTCCTTATTTCCAACTTCAATGATTGCATTGTAAACATTTTTATAATTAAGAAGCGCAATAAAATCTTGAGATTACTTGTCAAAAAATTTTACAGACATTTTTTTATCAAAAAAAAAAGATATCAATAGAATATTAATTTAGATTATTTATGTACAACAAATACACATAAGCTAAATAAATTCAGCCTTATTCTTCACGGAAACAGGGATGATTTGAAAAAGAAATATTTTGAAATCTGAGATTACTTGTCAAAAAATTTTACAGACATTTTTTTATCAAAAAAAAATATATCAATAGAATATTAATTTAGATTATTTATGTACAACAAATACACATAAGCTAAATAAATTCAGCCTTATTCTTCACGGAAACAGGGATGATTTGAAAAAGAAGTATTTTGAAATCTATGTAATAAAAAAACAAATCTTGTTGGTTTTGTGAAAGTTAAAGATACTGACAAGATTCTTGGTGGTTACAGTCTTATTGTTGAAATTCTGATCTTAATTGGCATTTTTCTGAAACTAATAACGGTTTTATTTTTTCTTTAAGAAATGGAAATGCCCAAGATTATATTTTTAGTCATGTAAAAAATGTAGTAAGGCTATTTATAAATGTGTCTCTTTTGGTCCAAATTTTGGTGGCTATGATTTATATATGTATATAAATCAATTTTGCATTAACTGTTAATTATATTCATGGCTATTAAAAACTTATTAGAAAAACAAATGATGAATTTTCAATGGATAATTATGAAATTTTCAAATTAAGAAGAGATAAAATATTTTAATTTATTGACAAGAGTTCAGGATTAGGAGCGTTTTATTAGCTTGGATTTTTAATTTATACAATTTAAAATATTAGAAATTTAATGGTAATTAAATTTAAGATTAGCAAGTATTGTAAGTTTTGTTATTTTAATAGTATATTTTCTTATATTTTGGTTAGAATTCCAGATAAATAAGGTAGATTCTTTTTGTATTTTATATTTGGTTTCATTCTTGGGATGAATTACGTGATGAATTCGTTATTTTTTTCATATCACTTATTACTTATTTGATTTCTTTCTTGAAATTGATGAATAGAATCTTGAAAATAAAAGAAAAGATTTTTTTTAATAAAATCAACTTAGCAACAAATATCACATCTATATTAAACAAACTTTTGCGGAAATCGTTTTCATTTTTTTTAAAAAAAAAATCTGAGTTGATAGGTGAAGAAAATTATCCAAAAAAATATTGATAGAATTTTTGTATGTATTAAAAAATCACATTGTTTTCTCAGTCCGGCGAAATCACATTTATAAAAATTTGTATTTTTTTTCTTCATTTACTAACAAATTCTAATACGAGAAAAATATTTTATTATCAAAATTGGAAAATGCGAAATAAAATATTTTATTTTGATTTATTTATTGTTTATTTTTCAAAAAAGTTCACCAAAGACAAAGATAAAGTTTATCATTTTTTTATTTAATCGAATAAGGATAAGGGCATATTATTTATTGGCATATCTTTTTAACATATTTTTCACCCTGTCACCAATAAATCCCATGCGCAAAAACGCAGGTGCGTTGAAAAACAGAACCCTCATTTATTTATTTTATTTATTGAACAGGTTAAATTTTTCATTCGATGCTAAGAAATCTTTAATTTAAATCAAGTGCTTTGTTAACTTTTCTAAAAGATCAATACGGAATTCAAATTTTTAACTTTGTAGTGCAAGTTTTATAAGCTAGCGAAAGTTGATACATATTCCATTTTTATTTGTATGCTCAATTAATCATTATCTCAAAGTTATACTGATTTAAAAATACAAATTTACAAGTTTTATCATTTTCAAATAAAGAAAAAATGTCAGAAAATAGAAACTAATTCTTATGCCAATGCGCTATTTATTAAATCCATTCATTTCCTTACCTATTTTATAAAAAAAAAAATTCCAAAGTGAAAAAAAAAATTTAATTCGATTAAATTAATCTATATGTAAAATGTGATAATTGTTTTTAAAAGTTTTTTACGAAAAATGCAAAGCGGAAAATTTTTTTTTTTTAATTTATTCGTAGAGCAAATACCATCGTTGCTTTTTTATATTTTGGACCTTTTTATTTGTTTATTTTTTTAGCCTTTACTCTGAATATGTATTATTATTTTCAAATGTAGTTTCTATAATTACAAGACAATGTAGTTTATCTATTATTTTTTTGTAATTAACTTTGAACTTGTAAATTCGTTTCGTAATTAATGAAGAAATACATATTCAATGTTTACCCATCGCTATTTATTTATGCCGAAGAGCTATCAGAAATCAAAAAACACGAAAATCACATTTAACAATTTTATGAAAGGACTAGGTAATCATCAAAGGAACAGATTGATCATACGCAAAGTGCATTTCATAACTTCAGGCAAATGAAAAAAGAAAAAAAATAAAATGCACAGTGAAAAATTCTAAAAATAAATTATTTGTTTTTCGAAAAAAAAAAAAACCGGATCATTTCCTTTATTCCAAAAAAGTTGTAATTTTCCTTAAAAAGACCAAACTATTTATTATTTAAATAATAATATACTCTACGATATTGCATGTTTTTAGGAATATTTATATTATACTAAATAAAGCAATAAATTGTTTGTAGTTAAAATAAATCTCAATTATAAATGAGGTAATTTGCTTCAAAATTTATGGTTGAGTTTTTTATTCATAAAGTTTTCCATTTTACATCTGAGAAGTGACAATTTTAAAAAAATGTCACAAAATTTTTATAATAGCATGTGTGAACGGCTTAAAAATAATATTAAATTTATTAATTATGAATATTATTAACAAGACAATTACTGATAGAATAAAGACGATTATCAATTTGGAGAAGAAACATTCTTTATTCGAAAGAGCTATAGAAATAAAAAATAAATAACTATTGAAAGTAAAAATAATGGATATTCCAACATTAAGGTTCATATGTGGGTATAATTGGATTAGGATAAGCATCTGTTTCATATCCCATTGATTCAAGGATAGACAAAATTCTGGGTCCAATTGGAGATGAGTAATTCCCACTTCTTTGGACTAAGTATTCTAGTGATTCTCCAGGATTGAAAATATATTTCATCAAAAAATCGGGAGTTGATTCATAAATTAGACTGATATGACTTATACTAGAACCTAACAAATAAGGATTTATACTAGATTCTAAATAAATTACTTCCTTATGACTTGTGCCTTCCGCAGGTGTAAAGGTCAAACTATCATTGGTAGTTGCCGATATAAGCGCAAATTCTGCATATTCCCATTGTTGAGAAGATTTTACTTGATTGGTAAATTCCAAGTTAGTATCAAATGAAGTTCCAATAGGTACCGACTCATTTAAATGGGAAGTGTAAACCGTCGAAGTGCTTTCTGCACCATTTCGTATGAACTTTACATATTTATCAAAAATATATTCCTGAAATCCTTCAAATTGACTGTCATTGTCACCACCGAAATCGGGAATAGGAGTAAGACCAGTGGTATCTTGATTAACTGTTGCCTCAAGAGTATTATCCCAACTTGATGAGAACCCAAGTCCATGTATAAGTTCATGTAATATAATTAAATAAAAATCATGTTGATCAGAACCGATTGTTCCGTTATCGGTTTTAAACCACCAATCTACGCCTATAAAAAATAATATAATTACCTGTTAATATTGTGAATATTCTTTTGATATTTTTGATAATATTATTTGATTATTACCTGTATTAAAAAATGCAA